TGCCGAGTTACCCTGTGCTGGTGGGAGTGACCAATGACACGAAGGTGAGGACGATCGGAGGAAATTTTCAGCGGTCGGGTCACAGTACGCCGACGGCGCAACCGGCGATGGACGTGGACGATGGGCGATGGGCGATAGGCTTTGGTGCTTCCGACGGAACGGCAAATATACACGATGTACGTGCGGCAAGCCCCAAGCGTCAAAGAGGACCTTGACGTCGCTGGTTTGTGCGAGGCTATTCAAAGACGGAAGTTTGAAAGCTCAGCTTCAGCTGCTGACGAAGACCGTCATTTGAACCATAATTATGTCATATGCCTCGGGCAAGGCTGTGTGCCGCGTTGCGAGGCTGAGCCATCCAACATGCCTACAGGTTAAACCTAATCAAGATTTGTGGACGAAGCCCACTGTCAGCGGCACCGGTGGTGAAAGTCCGCGTGACATATGACAATGAGAAGACATCTACCCTGTGGAATGCAGTAATAACACTATCTGGGGAGAAAACCAAATTGCCTTCTCATACGCCTGAAATGGACATTGTCGTTCCATTTCATGCCTCTCACAACTTTGACCCGGACTTCATAGGCATCGTTTTCAGCTTCGCAGCCAGTTCGCGTCGCAAGATCTTGCCCGAAGCTGACTTCGGGATTGCATCGATGACATAGATTCCTCCCCGGAGTTTCTTGTGGTTGGCAACTCTAGGATTCAGCCATGAGTGAATACCCTCAACGACTGCCTTCTCGCCTTTCGCCTTGGCCTTTTGATTGATGACGACAAATCCTACGGGGACATGTGTTGCTTGCTCCTCAACCCACTGTGGCACAACGCAGGCGTCTTCCACGTCGGGATGCTCGAGGAGCTTCCCTTCCAACTCCGTAGGGATGACCTGGAGACCCTTGTACTTGAACATTTCCTTTATTCGGTCCAGGATGGTCAGGAAGCCGTCGGCGTCGATTGATCCAATATCGCCTGTCCTGAACCACAGCCTCCCCTCGTCGTCGGTCGCGTAGCTGTTCTTGCTCGCCTCTTCATTTCGATAGTAGCCTTTCGTCACGTTGGGACCGCGACACCACAGCTCACCCGGAATCGCCGAGCCGTCGGCTTCATATCCAGTGTCTTGTAAAGTCTCTGGGTCAACCACTCTGTACTCCATGCTGGGTGTGATGTTGCCGACTGTATGTCGCTTGTCGGGCCGGTCAGGAGGACAATATGCGCCGAGCGGGCTGGTCTCTGTCATGCCCCACGCCTGCAGACCTAGTAGGTCCGTCCCGTACAATTTCTTGAACCGCGCCTCGACAGCTTCTCGAAGTTCTACGCTCAACGGGGCTGCAGCGGACATGATTCTCTTCAGGCTGCTCAGGTCATATTTCTCCACCAGGGGATGTTTGGCAAGCAGTAACATGACTGGCGGCACCACGCTCACCACCTCGGGTCGATATTTCTGACAGGAAGAGAGGAATACTTCGAGGTCGAAGCGAGCAAGCACAACGGCTGTGTTGCCCACATATGTGTTTATACAAATGAAGCACATGAGGCCGTAGATGTGACTGAATGGCAAGAATGTAACCGTCGTCAGTTTGCCCGTGGTCTCAACTGGCATGTGTGCCATCCACTGTATAATGTTGGAGACGAGGTTTTTGTGCGTTGTCATCACTCCTTTCGCTCGTCCCGTTGTCCCTGACGAGAAGCACATGAAGGCGAGTCGATCGTCGGTTTCGCTCGGCCTTATGCTGACGAGGGGACTGGGTGGACAGTTCTCCGCCAGCTTTTCCGCCGTTGGTTTGCCCTTCTTGTCCCACGCTCCATCTGCCTGTATGATCTGGATAGAAGGGTCGAATTTGATAGCCTCTTCTGCTGTAGCAAGGAGCGTTGAGTGAGAGATCAGGTACTTTGCTCCACTCGTCTCGAGCTGCGCCTGTAATTCCATGTGAGTGTTTGCAGCACTGGCGGGCGAGACCGTAGCCCCGCAGCCCAAGATGCCATAACAAACAATGGCATAGTCTATGCTGTTCGGACTGAAGAAAGCGACAATGTCTTTCGGTTTGACGCCGAGATCCCGCAAGCCCCGAGCTAGCGACCGGGTCCTTCGCTTGATCTCCCCATAGGTTCGTGTGTCGCCCGTGACAGCATCAACAAAGATGGGTTTGTCTTCGGGCGTCCCATTCGGGTTGGAGAAGAGGTAAGGCAGCAGATCGCTGTCCACCAACTCGACCGGTGGATAGGACGACCGGTAAACTCTGGAAGGCATTTAAATTGCGGGTAGAGCTGGCAGAGAAGGCAGTAGGAAGACGAATGGATTGCCAATGCGATACGTTGCAAGTACCAGAAACAGATGGGTGAATGCTGGGTACCGACGCCAGGACCGACGCTGTTCTTAAGTATCAGCACATTGATGTCTCGGCACAGACAGCTGCTCGTGCAGCTGACATCCGGCCAAGTTGACATGAAGCCAGTATCTTGCTCCAAGTCCGGGAGTGGACATGGTAGTTACTGTCAGCTTATTTCTTTCTTGAAAGACGATCGAAAGGGGAAAGTCGGTACATGGCGGGAGCCATGCGGTGTCCGTGGTGGTATCATGCAAGGGCAAGCGGCTAGGGAACGCGGCTATTGAGAGACCCCAGTATTGCCAACGCGGTCATTGTGACTACTAATCATGAGGCCCCCTCCGTCAACCCGTTTCAAGAGAGCCGGGAGGAATCAGAAGTGACGGTGGCGGTGACTCCTCCGAGCGCATCCACTAGGCTCAGGGCGCCCAGTTACGCCAGTCCATGGCTCGATATCAAGAACGAAAGCTTGCCAGATTACTCCGTACATTGCCATGTCATTGGTCAGTCGAATATCCAAGAATGATACCAACAGAGCTGACAGGCACCCACAACACGGGCGGAAGGTCGGGGGTGTCGGCTCCGGCTGCATTAGTCAGCATGTAGTCACGTGCTGCGGAGCTACATAGTAGTTCTAGCCTGTTTCAGAAGCACTAAACAATTCATCTTCACTTCTGTTTTACTTGCGCTTATCGCGTCCAACACAACACCAGTGACCTGTACTCAACCACAGTCGAAGAGTCTGGTGTTCCCTGATTGCATCGAACTTCTCTCGGTGCTCTCGACTTACGTGTGGGCGCAGATTGATCGCGACCCGTCTTTGCTTGTTTAAGTGCTAATAGAAGGGTTTGAGATAGATTTCCTCCACTGATCCAGGTCCGCTGCATTACTCCACCCATTCAGCAAACCTCGAGTGCATTGCGGCATGAGAATGCCCTAGCGATTGCCCTTGCCCTGACGGCTTCGCCTGGAGTTTCAGAGCTTGCAGCTAGAAGACACTTTATGACTGTCGCCTTCTCACCAACATTCAATGCAGGTTTTCTTCGGCCAACCAACATGCAAATATAGTCAAGTATACCATGTGAGTCTCGGAGCAGCGACCTCGCGCTATCAAACGAGTAGAGGTCGGTCTCTGGACAAGTCGGGCTCCTTATCGTCAGTAGAAGCAATCATCGACTCAGCACACAGGTTTTCCTTTTCACTCAACACGGATGCTCTATATCACGACACAAAGCGTTAGCTAACTCTCTGAGGCATTTATGCACCCGTGCTGCTTCGCTATACCAACGCCTTATCAAATTCTGGCGCACCACGCTCTGCACTACTGTCATGGTCGCCGTGGTGAGCATGACTGAGCCCTGGTAAGTCGAGGAGCACTGTACCCGCCCTGTTCCTCATCTCACCACTGCTCGTCGATAATCCATTCCTAACAACATCTTCATCATGGAACACCTGCACATGGCAAATACGTCACTTTCATTTTTGCTGTGACAATTATCCATCCCAGGTGACTCCCGGCGACGATCTCTCATGAGCTTCGTGAGCTTGTTAGACAGGAGGAACACCAATAGGAATAGGCAACGGTAAGTGCACTCATTACAGCTCGGGTCAAGCCGGGCGTTTCGTCAGTTCTACGGCACTGAGTCGCCGTCGGCAAGTCTCAGCAGAGTGGAGACCTTCAACGGAACATGAATCTTCGAATTTTGGAGCCACCGTCAGCTTATACGCAAGACAAACAGAGAAATGGGCGTTGACAAGTTGACCGTGCTGGAACGTGTGCTCAGTAACGGAGTTTATTGTTGCTTGATGCGTCCCTGGGCACACCACAACGCTCTCGATCTCGATGCGACTCGGATCCCGCCTCAGCTTGCGTGGATGCATCTTCAAGCGCGCTGGAGCAAGCCATTGCCGTGGCTGCAAAACAAATGCTACGCATGCAGCCATTTGAAAATCCGTCACCGCTCCTGAACTCCGAAAATCAACATGAGACGCCTTGAGGATTCAGTCATCTTGGCTCGAGCGAAGGTCTTGGGATGGGATGCTGAGGCGGGTATACTGAATGAGACCTGTGGCGAAAAGAATCTCCCTTCGCCATCAGCCTCTACGGCATTGGCGGGTCCCAAAATTGCGTTGAAGCCATCTATCCCGTCTGGTCTCCCCGAGCATTGTTGGGGTTTTCATCAATGCCTTGGTCCGACGCTCGGATGTCAGTGATGGAAAGCCCAAGGTGAGCCTCACACGAAGATGTCGAGACATGAAGTTGCACATCTTGCCGTCACTACGGTGTTAAGGGATAGAGTCCCGCATACGGCACTTTTTCAAGTCGTCCTGTCTAATAGCAGTTTCAACCCTTCTTCTCGCCAGGCTGGAATCACACACGCCACAGCACTGAATCTAGATCATGCTCGACCCATGCTTGTCATAGAGCAGCCCATATCCCCCTGTAATATGTCTATTGGGACTGACACGCAACGAAGCCACTCGCGGCACATATATGTATCTTTCCCCCGCAACAGTTGCCCGATCGGGACGGAGTTGGAGCTCAACCTCGTGGGTCGATATGGTGTCACTGTGTCACCACTGACCCGCCTTGGCCCTCCCTCCTCCAAGCTCAATTCTACTACCCGTTCAACTTGGTCGACAACTGTCAAGTGTGCAGCACATGCACTTCGCTCCATCATGTCCAACCAAACCATCTCCGACCAAGACACGCCCGACCCGTGGATGATCTCGCACGGGCCCAACTTCTACCTGACATTCACAGCCGGCGACCGCATCGAGATCTGGCGGTCCCCCAACATGGAAGACTTCCGCTCGTGCGCGCGGACCATCGCCTGGCGCCCCGGGCCGGCAGACCACCCGTGGTTCGTCGACCTGTGGGCGCCGGAACTGCACTTCCTCAACTCGACGTGGTACGTGTACTTCACGGGCGCGAAACCGCGCGACGGACCGGGCATGTACAATGCGGACCGGAGGACGCTTCTCCTTCGGAGCAGGTCGCGCGACCCGATGGAGGCCGGGGCGTGGGAATTCCTCGGCCGGCTGGGCGGGCTGCCTGACCACTGGAACATCGACGCCACGGTGTTCCACCTCCCCCAAACGGGAAGGCTGTATTGCTGCTACTCGGGCTGGCCGGCGGGCGACTTCTCGGACCGACAGCAGGACTTGTTTCTCGCGGAGATGGACGGACCCGAGGCCGCGAAGCCGGACACGGTGGTGTGCATTTCGCGGGCGGAGCTCGCGTGGGAACGGGCCGACCAGGGCACGCACGGCGTCAATGAGGGGCCCGCGTTTGTGAGCGTGGGCATGAGCGCCTCGCCTTCAGGGTCAGCGAGAGCATCGGCGGAAGGGTCAGGAGAAGAAACCTTGTTCCAAGGCATAGTCTACAGCGCCAACGGCAGCTGGACGAGCGACTACCGGCTGGGTATCCTACAACTGGTAGACGGGGCCGATCCCTTGAAGCAGAGCTCCTGGAGGAAACGATCCACACCGTTGCTCGTCAGTGACAGGCATTACGGCGGGCCCTTCGGTCCGGGCCACGCCAGCTTCGTCGCTTCTCCCCACGGCGACGGGCGGCGCGTGTATTGCATATACCATGCCACCGAGCATTTCGACCAAGGCTGGGCCAATCGCAAGGCTAGGGTGTTGTGTTTCAGCGGAGAGCATTTCCATCCACAGGCCCCGACCATGTGTTGTGCTTTGGCTCTGTCTGGGCGGTGGAGCGGCGGGGCGGCCATCTCGAATGTATCGTCGCCATCGTCAGCGTCAGCGTCAGCACTGCCGGCACTTCCTGCGAATGGGGCGCACCAGGACCAGCAAATTCAGCGTGCTCACGGACCGAGGAAGAGTCTCGTCGACAGGATTGGCGACAAGATACTGCAGAAGTTGAGAGAGTTTGCTTGACCTGACACTGATATTGACATTGACATTGACATGAACGTGGCCACTCGTGTGTATGATGGGCATCTACAGAAACAACGCCGATCAATCGATCGATCCGTGTCAATCCCTGACTCAACCCATCATGCAGGCTGCAAAGCCTACCTTTTCTTTCACTCTCACCCGTTGTCCTTCTCCCGTCTCAATCACTTGCATCGGCCCTGCCGACATCCTCCATCCACCATCCACCACCTCCCATAGATATATGTCACCTCTCAGACATCAATATCGCATACCATAAAATGCCTCTCCACGACCCCTCCGGCGATCAGTTTCCCGTGCTTCGGATCAACCGCCGCAGCCGTCAATACGGTGATCAAGCCCCCATCGTCCCAGTACAGCAACTCTGGCTCGTAGTCTTTGGCCTTGATGAGCCGAAGCACCGCGGCCTCGGCCTTGATGGACGAATCGAGGATATCATCAGGATGACCCAGGCGTTTTCTCAACGCTGCGAGATCGGGGAAGACTGCATCGCGCCAAGTACGCAAGTAAGTAATCAGGCAGGCAGCCGTGGTGAGGATATGAGTTGAGATTGAGAAAGGTAAAGGCAAAGGCAAAGGGAAGAACGGTCGATTAATTGACTGATTGATGCACTCACCTGCAACGGCAATGTCTCCTGTGCCGGGTATTTCCGACAGATTGTCCGCCGAGGCGCCGAGTTGCTACAGAATCGTTCTGAATTAGCGTGCTGTTCACTGAGCTTTATAGACCCGCAAGACGCCGTCCAGCACGAGGTATAAAAAGGGCCAGGTACAGTGGAAGGTACGTACCACCTTCTTCTTCACACTCAACATCTTGGTCTGGGGATCCACGTCGTAGACCGTCGTCGTCGCTTCCACGATATCATTGATCAAGAGCGTCTTTCCGCCGTCTACCAACAACGCTCCATTGGCGCTGGGGTGGCCATCCGGCGGAGACACGATTTTGCATTCCAAATCCCCTGCGACGAGAGAAGCCGTATTCGAGTTCGGGTTCGGATTCTTCACGGAACAGTGGACCACGCTGGAGGCCCACTTGAAGGGACCCCAGTGGTCTTCGTGGCTGCGGAGGAGCGTTGCGATGGGCCCACCCCCGTAGTAGTAATGGTCGTTCGTGATGAAGAAGGAGCTGTCCCTACTTTAGCTGGAGATGCCGAAACGCGGTTTGAAATTGCCGCAACGGTGCAGGTAGTAGATATTGTTCCCTCACCTTAGACTCGTCGCCGCTACGGCGTTGGGCGTCTTGATCAGCGGATGGCTGAAGTCGCGGACGAAGGTCAAGACGTCGGACCCGAGGATGTGGTAGAAGAGGACGATCGATTCGCCTTTGCGGCCGTGGTTGACGGCGAAGAGGTAGATCTAGGACAGTCACTCAGTAGTCGTCTTCAACGTGTCCTACTGGGGATAAGAGGCAGGATGGGGTGCGATGCGAAGGGACGACCGGAGTAGGGATAAATCAGTAGGTAGAAGGTAGGTAGGTAGCATACCCTGTCAGGTTCCTCTTTCACCTCAAACATGTCGATCCCATGCAGGATCAGATCGTATGACGAATCGATTCCCTCGAGCTTGAGCTTGGAGGCTGTGTCTGTCTATATGAGACACGTAGTTAGCTTGACTCGGTTCAAGAGCTCAGCTCAGCCTGGCAGAGCGTATTTCGCGGAACCTCAGTCGAGCTACACTGCTCTCTCCACGCCGGAGGTCTGCGGATGCGGCATGCCCTCTGCCTGCAAGACCAAGCACTGAGCCACTGCGAATCAGTAGTCATTGTCCTTACCTTGATATCATACTTGAGAAAGTACTCATGGTACGTCTCGGCCGAGGACGTGTCGTGGCGATTAAGGGGCGGGTAGAAGACCTTTCGAGTCTCAGGGAATCCGCATGCTATACCACGCGGCGATCTTTCGTCAGCTGTCATGGGATCGCGAAGATACTGCAGTGCATAGGATCCGGCTGCTGGCTGATGTGAGTCATTGGTACATGTGTCTGCATACGTACCCAGGAATGCCGTTGCAGAGGGGTGATGAATGCGAACGTCCTCGCATGCCTTGCCAACTAGAATGCCGGAGTTTGTCAGCATGGAGTTCACTAAAGGATTAAAGGGACGGGGCGCAGGATAAAGCAGCATGTATCCTGGCTTTCCCTCTCGCGAAGGGAAGTCCAGATGCAACGACACGCGGCAATGAAAAGCAAGAGGGGCGGACTGCAAAGGGACCACGAACGCTTATTCGTCCAACACCGCTCATTATTCAACGCGCCGTGGTGTATCCACGCTGTATGGATCTTCGCATCGTGCGCCCGCCCGAGGAACGTGTTCAGCACGGGGTAAGGGTATGCGTAGAAAGTGCTGAACAGAAGAACAGCCAGAGAGAGGGGCCCGAACCACACCCAGTTGTTGACGGCCATGGTGGTGGTCGTGGTCGTCGTGGTGTTGGCGTCGATTCACTGTCTACTTCCCGCGACTCCGTACGAGGGGATATGGATGGAGAGAAGAATGATTCGAGGGTCAGACCAGGGTTCTTGAGGACCTTGGGTTGTTTGGTCTTGCTCGGTATGGATACAAGGTCGGAAGAGGAAAGTCGGGGTACCTCGTACACATGGAGTACCTCGTGTAGCAAGACCTCGGCTACCTTCCGGACAGCCAAGTGCTCTCCGAGTTCTTCGTGCTCCGCAGAATGATCCACATACGGAGAACATAGTCCGGATGGGTCAATTCCTGGGCGGGTTTGCACGGGAGATTGTTCGAGTCAAGATATGTATACGGACTGGCCGCACGTATCCAGAGCCGGATCGCTCAGCGTCCGAGGACAGAACAGATGACACGACGACGGTACTGCAAGCTACGGTGACATGATACATTTGATAGAGTCTACTGGCCTTGCGGTGTACGTATGTCCCGTCTTGCCAGCAGCTTGATATTTCGACCCGACTTCCGCTGGCGCAAATCTGATCAAACATCATTTCTCGGCCGGGAAATTCCAGCTTTGGTGTCGCTGACAGCGACGAGGGGCGTCCGACTGCCCACCTTGCTGGTCTACCATATGGAAGCCCAGACATTCTCCCAGAGCACCTCCCTAGACAACTCTTCTGGGATGCGCCGGGATATGTCCAGGTGGAAGGCGGTGCCTGGAAGCTTTGGCTGGAAGCTTTGGCTGGAAGCTTTGGCTGGAAGCTTTGGCTGGCCCTGCAGGCCTACCTGACCTCGACACTTTCTCTGGCAGTCTCGTCCATACACTTCCGGAAATGGAGAGTTGTACCTGTATCGATGACGAGGGTCGTACGGTGCAGGGATGTCCACGAGTTGGTGCTCAACAACCGTCCAATATCGGAGGCCATGATCCCGGCCATGGGAGCAAGAAGACAGCATAGCCTAGCCGCTGATCAAGGCTATGAACGTTGTTGCAGAGTTTAGGATCTTCCAATGCACAATCACCCAACCCCAGCAACGGCTGCGATGATACACCCTCGCCGGATGTTGATGTACTTCGGGCACAGAACAGTCAAATCGTTCGCAGTGGAACTACAGAAGTCAATCACAGCCCATCCTGGATGCATTTCGGGACGTCTCTCCGACACATATGAGCCTTCAATTTGAGTAGAACAAGCTTAGGCGAGAAATGAATCTGCTGTTGGAGCCCCAAGAACTCCACCAAACGGCGTAGACCTTGCAAATCTCCTATCGTCTCTGTCAGATGCTTCTTCGACCCAGCCTTCCGTGCAAGCTACCTCCGCAGTCGATCGAGCGAGATCGATACATTCTCCGGCTTCACATCTCCCCAGATAAAGCTACGCCGATGCAGAAGTGTCACATTCTGTTCGATCTGTCGCTTCCATTCCTGCGGCTGTGGGTCGGATATTTCGCCAAGGACAAGCTCGGATGGCTTGTCACCAGCAATAAAGTCCCCTAAGGTGCCTGTCACTTGGTCGTGCCTTCCCACTAAGAGGAGAAGTCGAGGTACAGCAGGGCGCGCGACGTTGTTTGCGGCTCGCCTCCCACATCATTTACCATCATCTGCCTTCAAACCATTGCGCAAGGACTCCTCGGTATAAAAGTGCAACTTGACGTCACTGGGGTAATTTGTGCTCGCAAAACAGGAAGTCCATTCGGCCAACGACACGCTGCCAGGAGAGTCAAGAGGTACTTTCACGTAGAATGAGGGGGTGTAGGGGCTCTCCGTCGAGGTTTTTGGGCGCTTGGTCGCGGTGTCTGACTTCGGTAAAGCCCGGAGCTTGATGCTCGGATGATCCAGGGCTGGGTATCTTTTATGGTATGGCGAAGTGATCCTGTTCCGCGCGTCTCTGTCGTGCTTATTGTAATCATCGAGTCGATCTCTAAGCATGCTGATTGTCAAACTGGACCTGGAAGTCTTTAATTCCGCTAGGACTTTGATCACGGCTTTCAGAAATGATTGATCGTGTGTGTATGCAATGCTCGGGCGGTCTGAGGCTGCGAGAATCTCGTTGGTGCCCTTCATGCCACTCAACGCAGCATTTCCCGCAGAGCAACAATTCAAGATGATGAGAGTATCACACGGCGCGCGGTGGAGTGATGGCTGTATGGCAGACCAGTTCACGCCTTCTGTGTATATCGAGGTTAGACGGCTGAAGGAAACGGTTAGCCTTTGTTGTTTTAGCGACAAAACATTGCAAACATACGGTACCCAAACCGATGGGCCAAAATCACCTTCTCCTCCACTCAATGTCCGACGGATCGAAGCCGTGGCCGACGTAAACGACGATAAGAAGCGCGTCCTTCTTTCCGTACGTGTGTATGAGTTCCTCGATCTTCTTTTTCAGCGTGTTCTGGGCGTTGTTCTCTGGGATCTTGAAGATATCGCAGACGTCAAAGTTGAAGTGTTCCACGAAACATTGCCTGAGGCTTTCGAACTCTTTTTGAAGTCCAAGCCAGGGTTCTACTTTTACAAACATGATCGGCAGCCCTGTAAGCTTCGAATAGCGCTTATTGTGTGTCAGACTGTCATTGAGTTGCTCAGTGTTGTTCAAACTCTGGACAAGTTCTTCGATTTGCCGAGATACCAGAAAGCCTTCGCCTTCCGATTCGGAGCGTCTGACGGGGCGCGTGAACTCGATACGAATGCTTCTCACCATTTCTGGGGCCTCACTTCCCAGCTGCTTCCACGATGCGGGGTCGTCTGCGACAAGTGGAGGGATTGAGAGGTCGTAGGTAAGTCGATCACTGGATTGAGATTGGACCTGTTCACGATTCTGGCGCCCATTCAAGCCGTCATGCAGCCAGCGACCGATGATAGACAGCTGCTCGGGGTAGGTTGTCGGGCTCTGCATGAGCACCTCCATTCGAGCGTCAAGATCATCCTGCCTCGCTCTCGACGAAAATGGGCCTGTCGAACCCCCGGATGATACCCTTTCTCGCGTGCGTTCATAAAAGTCTTCCAAATCAGCAAAGTCCGACCACCTAGACTTGTATTCGGAGTGGGTGCTCATCTTGTCAATCCAAAAGCTCGAAGACGTTCTCTGCTCGTAGTCGGGCGTTGAATGGATACTATGACAGCAGGAAGGACGGGCAGGTGGTTTCAGCCTGAAAAATCATCGTCAAAGACCCTGCTCGCGCCAACATCAGTGGAGAAGGTGCCCATCAGGCCGGCTTTGGACCAGAAATCGAGCAATTGACTGAGGTGCATTGGCCGGGACTGTATTAACCAACCAGCCTTGAACTCCCAGGTTACACAACATGCTTTGGGGCAAATTTGAGGGGAAGGCAGGGCATTCCAGGGCAAACCAAGGCGATACATGGCACATGATGGAGAGTCTCTCGAGCCAGAAGCCCGGGGTTTGTTCCAAGAATCAGCTGGCATGCCCGGAACGAGAAACCACACCCGCATGTCTCAGCGCCCGGCATCTGAGAAGCCAACGGGAGAACTGCTCTTTCTGGTCTTGCAGGCGAGAAGTGTGAGTCGGCTCTCTCGACGGAATACCATGGGAAGATGAGCTTGATGCAGCCTGAGTGAAGACGACCGGAGTTTTTCGTTCTCTGTGGATCGCGGATCGTGCTTACTCTTGGAGATGCTTGTGATATTTGCCGATTGGTGGGTCAGGCAGGCGGCTCTTGAGGTCCTTCGGGGACGATCCTCCCTATCGGACGAGACGCTCGAGAAAATGGTCGCTCGACTCGAGGACCAGTATGGGAAAGCCCCTGTCTCAGGCCGGGTTGACGGGAACTCTTGAGTCAAATGATGTCTATACTCACTGAGAGGTATTGAGAAAGGTCGTTTCATTTGCACCAAGTTGAGAAAATGGCTGGCGTCGGAACCCCGTGATGTTGGATACTCGCACCTGGAAATTGCAGAGCTTCTCCTGGACAACGTTAATGACTCACCTTGGATCTATATCACCCTTTAACCCTTCCCTGCGCCTGACATTCTGAAGTCCTTCCATTTCGCGGATGGCGTACGTTCCACAACGACAAATGGCAGGTCACAATCGGATCGAAATCAGGAGCATGATCGTGCGGGCACTTCTCTCGTTTCTAACAGTACACAGTGTATGCAGGTAGTCATTCAGATGGCATACTTGGTGTAGTGAAGGACTATTCTGTCGTTGAATGGACGATTTCGTGGTATCTGGAGGGGACTGTTATCGAGGCGTGTGGGAGGCTACAGCCAGCGGTCTTGGCACCGAGAGAAATCAAACCCCAAAGGCAGCGACGCTTACCGCCATATTAGGAGAGAAATTTCCCTACCACATGGATTATGTTGTCCCTAGGCTTATCGCTCCGCGGCAAGTCCCTACTGTGTATGAGCAGCCTGCCTCGGTGGGCAGCCGAAGCAAGTGAAGATTGGCCAGATAAGCATACAACCCTGGTTGATCTCAGGTCAACGACAGGACGAGGTCCATACGGGGTTTTGGACCCTCGAAGGCTTCTACAGACTTCCCTCCCAGATAATTAGAGGACGGACCGATGTCATACCCACCGGTATGCGAGTCAAAGGTAGATACTGTCCATCAGGCAAGAACGCGTGGTGGTTATACAGGCTGGCAATTGAGTACGCGAGAGTGAGTACATAGTATCCACCTAGTGTACTCCGTACCTACAGTAGTACTACCTTTTGAAAGATATGAGCCACGCGAGACCACGACCACCGGTATACACGCCTACCTAGTCACAGTGATGAGCGTACGGAAAACACCAAGACCACAGCCTACACGCTTAGTCACAGTATTCCGTGTGTGGACCCCCGCATGTAACCTCTGTATGGACTGGCGCGCCGAGTGAATAGAGATCAACCAGAGGTAGGCATAGCAGGGTACGTCCTATAGCCCTCAGTAATGTCGGATCCATGCACTTCTAATTACTGCGTACAGCACTACATATTCCGAGTACTACGTGTACCTCGTATAATGCGAACGGGACACGATGATGTGCAAGTGGTTGACCGTAGGAGGTAGTGCAGAGCCTGACTGAAGGCTGCGATGGTACGCCGCACGCCCTACCGCCGTCGCCAATAGCATCCGTCGAGACTGGACATTCGCACACGCACGCACGCATGTACTCACTGCACTTGAGATCCACCACGACTCCTTAGCTCATGGTCCATGGTCACGCCCCGACACGAACCTACAGTATCTGTATTGTTGGGCCACAGCAACGAGGTACGACCTACCACTGGCTGTATTACTCACCTCGGTCTTGACTGCACCTTTGCCAGCCTTTACACCTCTTAACACAGTCACACCTATTACGCCGACAGTATCTCTGTCCATGACCCGGCTGCCGTGCCCTGCTCGGAAACTCCGCCAACTAGATAGGTAGATAGTTAGATAGGTACTTCCTACATACTCCGTCCGTACTGATCAAAAGACCCGACTTGCCCCAACTTACCCGACTTACCCGACCCAAGTAAAGCCTACATGTACACAGTACCTCGTACGAGTAGACGCATTGACTGCGGAGACCGTATCCGGCTGGAGCCGGGGATGATCCCTGGCAGGAGCCGAGTCAGAGCGGAGGACCCGAGTTGAGAAGGACTCGTTCGTACCTTGTCGTCCATCCCTGGTGACTACTCCCTGCTCCGAGAGCTATATAAGACGCACGAGCATGAGGCACAATCGCCGCTGAGACGACCTCTGCAACAGTACAATATAAACTTGGTCTTTCAGTGCGCGGGATGAACACTCTGAACTGCAACATCTCGGCGAGCGCCACAACTGTCGCAGTGTACTTACTCCGTAGCATGTGACAATTCCACGATATCGATAAGCAGCCACACCCGAAATTTCACATGCTCCGGTCGGTCGCATTGTACATCTCACAATTTCGGGCGTTGTTACCCACGATTTAATTTTCTGCTAGAATGCATCGCCCATGACTTGGCGGCGCTGACGTGGGTGCACAGAAGCTCAAATTCCTTGCATTCAACAAACTACCAATTCTATGCGCTTTCAAAAAGCAGGTACGGTAAGTGTACTCTATCACTGAGAAATCGACGAGACCCGCGACAGGACGCGTCCTCGAAGAGCCGCAGTATTCTGCGCGCTTGCATCCTTCAAGGAGGTCCGGGTGCCCCTCTGGCGTAAGAGCCTCGGGAGCTGTGAAAGAGAAGTTTGGCGGAAGAGCAGTGTGCTATAGTTGGTCTCCTTGCTTGGAACAGGGACCTCGGACAAGTTTAGGAGCAGCGAGCAGGGAACAGTCGTCGTAGATCGTTCTGGATGTCATCGGGGTATCAAATGCTGGTGCCATTCTGAGTTGTACAGGTGTCGAAGCGTAGGCTTCAGAATTCGGCCGCTTGAGGAACGTGAGGTTGTTTGGGAGAAGCGTCACCGCGTTCACTTGCTGGCAATCTCCTTGGCTTGTTCCTTCTTGCCCTGGAGGAAGGAGCTGATCCATTTGAGGACATCCGAGCTCAGGACGAGAGACGTGGTGATGACGGCCTTGCCACCAGCGACATAGCCCTCACCGCCGCACTTCTTGTATTCATCCTTGTATGTGTTCAAAGCCCAGTCCTTGGTGGTGTTGGCAGTCTCGAGCGGCCAGTTGACGTAGCTCACAATGGTGTCCTGAAGCTCCTTGGTCTCTGTCTTCACAATGGGAACTCGCTCGTCAAACTTGGTCAGGAACTTGTCGCCGAGCTCGTCCGCCTTCGCAACGTACGGCTTTGCGTAGGAAGCAGGGGCCTCGAAGTAGGGCAGGGTGGGTTTGACAAATTTCGCGTAGCCGGCGTTGGTCAGCTCAATCGATTTGGCTCCGTAGGGGTTCTGCTGGATAGTCTTGATGGAATCCGAGACGAGAGGGTAGGATTGGATGTGCTACCAGGTGCCAGTGTTAGAACAATTTTTTACTGCACTGACAAGGTCGCGCCACAACTTTGCACTTACCGAGAGGACAGCGGAGTGCGGAATATCGCCATTAACGGTAGCTTCGCCCATTGCGACTGATTCTTGGTTGGTTACTGGGACTGGAGATGGTCAGCGGTCTTCCTGAAGCGGCGTGAACGGCTCGGAGAGCCTGGTGTGAGATAACAGATAGGAACGAATTGAGGGCGGAAACCGCGCGGGTGTTCAGGGCACCTCTCGCCGGGTTGAAAAGCGGTATCGGGCAAGGTGAGATACGGTACTCACAAGTAAACGTTGATGTGGGAGTTTCTGCGACGGGATCCTGGTATTCCGATTGCAAGAAACGGCTCGAAGTGCAGGTGGGAAGGACGAGGGAACAGGAGTCAGAGCGATAATATGGTGAGTGATGCCTTGCAGCTTGTTGAGCTTTCGCACCCTCCGAGCCACCCTCCTCGGCTGCTTGCTGGGGGCCGCTGAGGCAAGAACGCCTCCGCCAACCCGTTCAGAACATGGCAGACATGGCAGGATGATTTCATGCTTCAGATCCCTCCGTTTGATTTGTTGGTGGCCGTCCCGCCGCCGCAGGCGTGGAGGTGCAACAGGCCCAGATTTGGCATGTGAAAATCTGCAGCCGCCGACCCCTGCCGCTCAACCTCTGCAAGCTATACTAGTGTCGAGGTGCCCGGAGCTGGGTGCGATTCATCCGGTACATGTCAGTTCAGTCATATGTCAACCATCTACGAGTACTCGTATCAATGAACGTCAGTTACTGCTGCGGCACATTTGTCCAGCTTGCTCGCTGCCTACTTGCGTCGGCTCAGTGGACCAGCTTCGAGACTGCAACAGCGACAGTGCCACACTTCGCCGCGGCTTTCGTACGGCCTTCACACCACCTCCAGCATCCGAGCTCGGGTGCCTGGGAGCCTTCAATGCATGGGGCGACTATCTCTCCTGACCCAAACGTCATGGCCATGCCGTGTGCTGTCCCGCCTACGGCTATCGTGACGTGAATGCTTGTTTCATCGTTATCAGACAGGCGCATCATCGGGGCGAGATTGGGCAACACCATGTGGCTCATTATTGGGGGCGATATCTACACTCCTCATGAGAACCTTGCTGCCACTGCTTCATGCGCATCCTGGACCTCGTCTCCAGACTGATTATCTGATGCACGCAACAATGTTCTTTTTCGTGGGGTAAGCATGTCATAGAAGGGCCTAATCTCGATGACAGCCCGCAAGTAAACCTGTGAATGACCCGGACTCTCCACCGCAGCTATGTACATCTACGTTGAGGCGCGGCCGGGGAGTTTCGTCCGCGCTTCACTACCGAATGGGGGCCGCGATGCACCTCTGGCATGCGCTTTTCGCATGTGATACTCATTGGACTCTGCATGTCCCAACGCCCGTGCATATCGCGATACATGCATGGACCGACTTCACGGTCCAAGCCTTTCTAGAGCGATCTGCAGCAAGGATTTGGCCAAGTCAAAGTTCATCCAAGTATAGCAGGAGAGCAATCAAACTGCCTGGCGTACGTAGTAGCTGCCGGCGGTGTTCGTTCTGCATCCGAGCGGAACGTGCCCAGCCGACAGACATCGTGAATAAGGGGACTTCACCTGCTGATGGGAATTGCGTAGCGGAGATCGAGTCCCATTGCGGTAAGAGTATGGCGGATGGAGTGCCCCGACCACTCAATTTTGTAAGACTTGAACAGGCCTGGTATGTAGATGCGTCGGAATGGAGACACAAGCGTGGATGAGTGTGAAGTTTGCTGTTGTGGCGAGGAGGCGAAGTGGAAAATGCATGTGGCTTGCACATCGCAACACTAGCATGTGAAGAACCGGAACAAATGCACATGTCAATCTGGCTGATACTCGTTTGATTGTTTCATCCCAGCCCAGCCCCATCGCTTTGACTTCGGACTGCTACGGACGACCACAGATGATAAGTGGGAGATGTCGCGTCCTCAACAATCTGTCTGCGACCCTGTGCCAATGGTATTGGTAGGACCGCCCAGGTCTCGGACTCCACGGCCTACTAGTAGCTCAATTTCAATATCAGCTCCTCTGTACCATCTCGAGTTTGTTTCCTTGTTTGCGCTCCCAAACGCCGATGCGAAGCTCAATCCAGGCGGAGCCGGATACCACTCCTAACCTTGCGCTGTTAAACCATGCTGCAGTCCCAAAAAACCCTCTTGAAGCTTCCCTCAAGCAAATTCCATGCAAAATGGGCTTTCTTTACTGCCGAATGGTGTTAAAGCCAGCGGGAACCTGCCACCCGTGCGCTTCACACGCACGAATATACGCAGCAACAGCCTCGCCAATACCGTAGGTGCTCTGCCCACCATGTCGAGACGGAGCAGCCAGCCTAGCTGGGCGCTCTGTGTCCATCAGAACAAGCCGAACTTGAAGCAAGAGACTTTCAATCGTGAGACTGGCGCTCCACCCGTTGTTGGTCAGTACTTCCATACACATCGCACCTCCTTCGGTCACGTTTCCACCTCCACCTTGAGAAAAGGGAAGAAATCGAGGCCTTACCACTCGAATGAATGGTGGACTGAAAGGAAATTGGCTTGTGAATCGCATCTCCATGACAATTGACGTCAACCCTGCCACTTTCATATCCTGTGCCAAACCAAGATCTCCTGGAAAGCTATGCAGCTCCACGATCCACTGGTACATGTTGTGGATGAGGTTGCGGTCAATGTACCATCCGAGCGTTGCTGGCGCCGTATGTTTTTGGGTGTCCAGTGCGTCCTTTAGCAAGCGCATGAGTGCTTTGGTCGCAGTGGGAGTAGCGTCCTGTGGTTCTTCCATGAAATTAATACCCTGCAAGTCTAATTGACCAGGCACAAAATCCGTATCAATTGGTGGCCATGCATGTGCCTTGTTGTCACTAATTTCCATTGCCGTGGTATCCGCTGGAGGTGCGCGTGCGGTAGGATCGTATCTGTCGTTGGGATCTTGGAGAAAGGATAGATCTTCTGCATCGGAAGAGACACTGTCATCATCATCGACTCGACATTCAGCAGAAGCTTGATCGGTGGGGTGGACGGTCTTCGGGCGCTTCTCCTGAGGTCTTGAAGGCGACGAAATGCCACTCCAAGTTCTGCGGGTCTTGGAAATGGCCGTTATTGGGATGGAGATGGACCGACCAAGTTCATTGTAGACCAGCCGAGCCGGATCCTGCTGGTACACTGTACCCACCGACTCGTCCACGATTGTTGCCATATTCTTGGTCTTGATGAAGAGGTACCGTGTCTGCACCCAGTCGATATCGGCAACCACGTAGTGAGGATGTTTGCATACGAATTTGTCCGTGTTGTTCACTACTTCCTGTAGCGACAGAACATTGGCGATCTTCAGTGCCGAAGACTTCCACCCTGCTGACTCCGCGCGATTGATGTGCTGGCTGTAAGTCAAACTCGTCATGGCGGTGTTGCTCATATAAATACCGTTGCCGAACGCTCTGCCATTAATGATTTCGTCATAGTGAAGGCCTTGCCGAATGATGGAATGCCAGTTTGCAATGCGGCTTCCATGCCACGCAAAGAGGGTTGGATATTCAGTTCCAGACACCTCTGCCTGCTCTTTCACGCAATCATTGAAGCGCTTCTCTTTATCTGGAGCACCTTGAGCAAAGCGAAATTGCATCCATGCGTCCATTCCGCCTACCCGGTCTGCAGGCCTTCCCAGAATCTTAGAGCTCTCCCCTTCGCAAATCTCATCCACTTGTAAAATACAGGATCGGTTCGATGCGACGATCCAACGCAGGAGATTGAGTGCTGAGTCAGATATTCTGTCGCTCCATGCCTTTAGGTTGTGGTTCTGAGTCCGACCCTGTAATTCTAAATACCTACGCATGTCGTTTACGCCTGGTAGTGTATCGAGCAATGCTAAGATCGCGCTTTGTTGGGAGGCTGTTGGCATTTCGTCGAAGTTTTTGTCGTATAAATAGCAGTCGACTTTGTAGAGAGAGGTCTTGAATACGCAAGGAGGGCCCCTCTCAGGATCTGTCACGGAGGGCTTCAAGGACACGAAGATGGGCTGGTGAAGCGCAATCTGAGGTAGGGCGACGCTCTTGACCCGGCAATGCGCAATAACCGCATTCCTTGCCGAACACATCGCGATCCAATCTCCGGCTTTGACCTTCTTCACTGCGGCGAGTTGTGCTGCAGAGTTCTTTGCCTCTTCGTCTATCTTCTGCACTGTGGCAGTCGTTGATCCTTGGGCTCCATCAACCACCAGAGTCAGCGTGCTCTTATCCCAGGTGCCGGAGAAAGACGGTTCTGGTATTGTCGATGTAGGCTGAGGCACCGGATTGTATTTCCGAGAATATCCGCGATACGAGAGTACCTCAGTGTCGGGGACTTCATATTGTCGAATGAGAGGAACCAGTAAATTCATGCCCACCGGCAATTCTTTGACTCGACCATTGGATGCGGCGGCGTAGCAGAAACTAACCAAGATATCAACCACGTAAGGTTGGGTCAGAATCTCCCACTCCAGGCTGGGGCCGAATCCAAGCGCCAGATACTGAAACAAGCAGAGAGGCTTGGGGCAGACGTATGGTTTCAAAGCCTCGAAGGAGTCATCTACTGGGCAATGGCACACTAGACAAAATTCTGTGCATCTGACAACGTGCCGGAGAACAAACTGCATAACGATCAGTGGTAACGAAGCCTGCGGGAGAGGTACCTGAAGCATGTGGTCAGAAAGGACGATAGCCGGCAGGTTATGGGCACCAGCAGTATCGTCGCAGTAATAAGGCGTTAGGTCGAGAACGCTGTCGCTAGATGCAGATGCCTGTCTCTCTGCGATAAATTTCTCTGCTCCAAGCCAGGTCAGGTGATATAAGTGCCGTGCGTAGATGATCTTGAACACACGTTCCTCAAGTAACTGGTTCAGTGCTTTGCCGACGAACAAGGGCTCGATGGTGAAGTTATCCCTGGCAGTGTCCTTGGCCTGATCTGTCGAAGCAGCACTGTCCGTGGTGGGACACTGGAAGACGCCGAGGACATGGTGTGCGGAAGGCTTGTAATGTTTACAAAGTCCCACGCGCATTTGTACCGAGCTCGTGAGATCCTTGTCATCCGCGACTCTGGTTGCATCACGGTAACCTCGAGAGTATTTGATCAGGAGCGTGAGGTAGCGCTTTCGCGGAATACCCCATGCTTCGAGGGCTTCGTCTGACAGACCGAGCTTGGAGATCCGAATCGAGACACATAAAATGCCAGAAGTTGCAGGATTTCCGAACACCCCGACACGAAAACCTGATTCCTTGAGTGCCTTCAGGTCTGCACGCGCTCTTGCCACCTTTTCGGCGTCGACCTTTGAACAAATGCCAGATTCAAGAACCATGTTGTCAATATCCGTACTACTGGTTGGTTTGCTCTCGACCGGGCCGAAGAATTCATTGTCGGAGTCGCCCTCGAAGTCGAAATCGAAATCGTCGTCATCTTCTTTACCCTCTTCTGATATGTTGTCGACTAAAGCTCCGGCGGAGATGGCTACGGTAAGGCTTTCTGAGAGCTCGGACAAAAGGCTGCCGAGCGACTTGCCATTCGCGCTCCCAGAAAGTTTCTGTAGGACCGCAGAGACCACAGACTCGGCAGACTCATCTTGAGTACAAAGCATGAATGAGTTGCGGTCCGGATACTCTTCTAGATCGGTGGCGTATGCTTGAATGTCGACATTGTGGAAAGGGCTTGTCGGATAGACATAGGTGAAGATCACGATGCCTTCTTCGGGACTGCGGACGCCATGAATATGCTTGTTACCAAGGCGACCCGCGTCTGCCAGATGGCTGAGAAACAGCTTTCGGCCCATGAGTGGTAGGGGTTTTGTATCGGATACGGTAGAACGACGAGTCGCAGGGACACGGCATCGACTTTGGACTGAAGTTCGCAGTCAAGTTCGAGACTTTGAAGGATGTTCCTGCCTTTAGAGCTGCTGATGATTAGTAGATGAAATGAGTTTGAGGGAACGATCAGGCTGGATTCTCACCAGAGGTTCACCGCCAGGAAAAGTAGTCAAGTTTCTGTCTGGGCGAGGAACCAGAGGAAAAGGGAGAGGAAGCTACAGCATTTCGTATTGTAGAGCACAAATGCGAGAGTTGAGCTTGAGGTGGCACTGAGCTGGAGATGAAAGCGGCGAGTCAAGAGTGCAGTTGCACTCATGCTGGGCGTTAGTGAAGGGGTCGACTGCCGACGTAGCGAAGTGTCGAGTGCAGTTGCCTCTGTGAGGGAGCCACGATCTGTGTAGAGACTGTTGCTTGGCTCAATGATACTCATCTGATTCTCACTTACATCACGATAACAACAGATGGATTCAGGTTGAGGACTTGTGTCTGTAGGACCTTTCGCGGTTTGAGCTGCCTGTGCAGTCTCATCCTGCATTGACGCAGCCTGTCCGGTGAGTTACTTCTTTGTTTTCTTGCTCCAGAGCTGCTTGTTACGCCCTCAGTGACAACATTCGTCACTTCTACAAAGCGACACAAGATAGGAGGTTTATAAACAGATGTACGTGAAAACGAGGCTGGCACGGCTGGTCATGAATCACATCGTGACTTTGCTTGGCATGGGCTTCCCACGGCATATCATTCTTCCTTACCGTTCCACAAGGCCAAGGGCTTTCACTCAAGTCACCTCGCCCGTAGACAACTATTGTCAGGAGCGCTTTGAAGGTTACGGTGCACCTCGTCCTCGAACGTGGAGTCGGCACCATCCTCTACGATGAACCCAAGTCTGCTCCAGAATCACCTGCGCCTCAGCTAAATTCTGCCGTCTGACTGAAACCTCGACATCAGCATGCCTTCGAGAGTAGATACAGATCAAACGGGCGATGATGGAAACAGGTCTACGCTCACGAAGCTTAGTCAAGCTCAATTCGATCCTGTGGATTTTCTCAATGATGCGCTGCCGAACTTGAGTCTGTCTACCCAACCGCTGCCTTCAAAGATCAGCCGATCGTCACAAGTGCAGGGCGCCGCCACGGAAGCACTTGCTTTATTCTCAAGTCTCAGTACCATCAACATCCGGTCATCTTCAGAGTTGTCTTCGCTGACGGACGAGATCATTCGCAGCGGAAATCGATTGGCATACGAGGTGGAGGTTCTTCGAGGCGATGTGAACGGATTTCATGAGTTGTTGACCGAGTCATTGCGTGAAGATATCGACGAGTTTGTCAAGGATGAGGCGTCAACGGGCCACGCTGCACCATCGCTTGAACCCGAGGCTGACGGCGGCGAAATGGTGCATATCCGAGCGCCGACCGACGAACCTGACTTCATGGCTCGTTTACGACTGCTCAGCAGAGTCAAAACGCGTCTGGAGTCGGTCATTACGATATTTGGTGAAGCAATGAAGTGGCCAGTACCGCCATCCGAGGTGTCAGGAGCGTCGCTAATTTCTGTGTCCGCTCCAGAGTTGGGCATACAGAGCTCAGCAGAGGATGATCAAGCAAACGAAGTCTTAAAACAAATACGAGACGAAATCAGTGAGCTGCTGGCATCAGACGCAGGACCCTATACCGGCGTAGAAGCTGCATCACGGAAAGTCGAAGAATACACAAAGCTGGCAACGCTCTGGAAGGGAACAGGAGAGGAGAAGGCAAGGCTAAAGTTTGTGGATTCATTGGCCAAACTTGTGGAAGACAGGAGCAGAGCACTGGATGCACGAGGGACTGCTCGCAATCCGAGGCAAGACAGCTCTGCCCGTTCCAGCTCGGCAACTGCAAGAAACATGAAAGGTGCAAACGAGGGTAGTGGTGCGACGGGATTGTTCAGAAACTTGCAACGTCTGAAGGATGATTTGTATCTTGACTGACGCGCAACTCGAGTCCCATCTCAGCATTCCATGATACTGTGCTATGAGTCTTGAATTTGACTGTCCTTGAACTGAGCCGTGCCGTGCTTGTCGAATCGCAATCACCCAATTGCTCGACCGGTTGCGAGTATCAAGTGTCGCCTCGGTTCATTGGTTGCTGTTCATGTTCGATCACAACCCTTCGATCTTTACACTGTGCTTGCCATCCTAATACGCAAACGGAGCCGATGGCCTTGTATGGCCGTTAAGTGCAATCCTGCGGAAATATCACCTGCCTTTCCACCTAGAATCTCAGGGGAGTGAAGAACCATCTGTTCTTGCCGCTCAAGTATCTCTCCTCCAAAGCCTTCTTCACGTTCTTCTTCGCATCCTCCCTCTGTGAAACCTCCTTGAAAGTATCGTTCGAAATGACGCTCTTCAATCCTTCGAGCTCAAGAGTGTAACGCGTAGGCATGATGTGGTTGTAGTTGACCATCTTGATGAACGGCTTGACTTTCGATCGCTTCTCGACTCGCTTCTTGCCCATGCGACGGGTGACTTTGGATGGGTAGCGCTCAATGCCTGCGACCAGAGCGTAGGAGAACGAGTGTTGCTTGGTGCCGGAGTCGACGGGCTGGATTATGACAACTTTCTTTCCGGCATATCTGCCTCTGGTGATGCTGTAAATGTGTCAGACCCAAACTCAAGGGATTCAAGGTAGGAATCATGGCGACAGCGTGCAAACTGGCCTGACGCCGGTCCCCGCGATGGGATATCGAGAACAGAGAGAGCTTACATCGCTACACGTCCCACTTTGAGGAACTTCATCTTGAAGTTTGGGCTTTGCGCTGAGGGATGTCGTTGTAACAGGGCAATGAGCTGGCGTGGAAATGTGCAAGTCTACGGCGGCTCTGAATTTCAAAAATTCTCTTGGCAAGGGATTTTCGTGGGTTGTGCCTGATTGGTGCGCGCAACGGCGCTCGGGTAGCCAATAAGCGCTTTTGTTTACTTTTTGTGGAGATCCTCGTCACTGCATCGCTACCGAAGTCCAACAAGAGTGTCTACTCTCTTGATAATCGAGGAACACTGCCAGAATTGTGTTTTTTGGTTTGCAGCTTGTCATCGTTCAGTCTGTTCTTGTTTGCACGGGAGTTCTGCTGAGAGCATTATGAGCACCACGGACTATCATTTGTGACTAGCAGCATTCCTTGCGAAAAATCCCCGAAACAAAGGCATTGGCCATGTCCACCTACTCTCCGGGTTCGAGGGATGCCTCGAGGGACCGTGCTGAGTCTCGACTGGTCAAGCATCAACACTCATTTTCCGAGTCAGGGAGAAGCTCGGTGCCCATGTAAGTCGCTTTTCGACTGCATTCAACCTGCGAGAGATACTTACGCGCTGTGTAGGTGGGATAGCTCAGACCCAGAACGAGCACCTCCACCACTCCCGTTGAATCCGGGGGTTCCGGGTAGCCCTATCACCAGATCCAACACATCGAAACGCATTGATGAAGCAGCCGCTCTTATTGCTGCCCGAGCTCGAGAAAATGCGCCGAGTAGCTACACAACCAATCCTCCTCCTGTGTCTCCTGACCGAAGTGTTATGCGGGCGCAGAATAGACGAATGCAAAATCTGCAGAGTCCCACTATCCACAAACTGAGTGACTCCCTCGAGAGACGATCGCCTGACAAAGGCCTTCGCACGGCTAGGTTTGTCGATTTCGACGACCTCCCAAGCACCAAATCACCAGAGCGCAGCCCAACACGGCCTAGACCGGAAACACCTACACCCACCGACCTGAACTTGAGATCGAAGGAAGACGAGAATACGCCACCTGTGACAAACATGCTGGCGTTGCAAAGTATGAGGAATCGGCAGGAAGCGGCGCCGCTCGGAGATATTACCAACAACGCATCACCTGCAGTACAGCCTTCCTACTCCTTCAATGCTCTTGCGGACCAGATTTTGAGCCTTACATCCATAATGTCGAACGTCCAGAAGGAGATGGCGAGTCTGAACAAGAGAAGTAAGGACAACTACGGCGACCTGATGAGTCTGAAAGAGGCGACCTCGGCTCGGGATGAAGATATCCGGAAGAGTCTCAGAGAGCTGGTTGCGGGCTTGGAGACCAAGTTCACCAACCTCGACTCTCGCTTGCTAGGTCCTCCGCCTGAAGTGAGCAGATCCACACCTAACTTGGGCTATTACCTCGACGACAAAGCGCACACTGGCTCTCCCCGTCCGAAGAGCCTTCAACTGCCACGTATTGGAAGTCCTTCAAGCTTTACTGCTGCGCTTGATCGAGACCTGACAGCATCGCCTTCCCTCACATGTGTTGACGGCGCAGCGAGCATTGCTCTCTTGGAGAAGGTGCTGAGAGAGATGGCAACACGCGAGGGACAAGACAAGATCATGAGCACACTGGAAGCCGTCAAATCGCAAGCTTTAGTCCAAGCACAATCTACAGCTCCCACTAAGCCATCTTTTGATCCCAACATGATGTCCAAACTTGAGGATATCCTCATGTTCATGAAAGACATGAAGGAAGAGTCAGGGTCCAGAGCGCTGATACGGGCAACTGCGAATGACACCGGCAAAAGTCCTTCCAACCTCGATCTGTACCTTGAAGGGGAGTCGAAAGCGGGTCCCCTGGCCAAAGCTAAAGCCAGCAATGAGAGACGATCCTCAATGTCGAACTCTGAACTGGGCGGACTTGACGAGGTTGTTACGATGCTGAAGAGCGTGAAGCAGTCGCTTGCACAAGGAGGCGGCCTAACCAACGAAGTCAAACTCTTGGTCCGGGAACTGCGAGGTGAAGTTCTTGGAATGGGTCGAGAGATCGCAAAGAAATTAGAACAGTCAACAATGGCCAGCAAAGGTGCTGAGGCTGATTCTCAGACCGCCATGAAAGGCCAGATCGCGCTTATTGTTCAACAAGGTCTTGCCGAACTCAAGGAACATATGCATCGCATTGTCCAAGAGAGCCAACGGCAATCAATGGAGCTTAGCCACCCAGCGGTTGATACACAGGAAATCGTTCGGGCAGTCGGAACCATTATCACCCAGATGCCTCAACCTCCTGCTCGAGATCTGGTTGCCGAACGAGACGAAATGCTAGCAGCCGTCAGAGAAGCTTGGGAGGATTGTAAACCAGAAATCGCTCTCGAACATTTCGGCCTCGAGCGAGACGAGATTCTGGAGACACTAAAGGAGGGCCTGAAGTCTTATCAGCCTCAGCAGCCCACAGTGAGGGATACCGCCGCCACCTACGACGATGTGCTTGATGCTGTAAGGAAAGGTCTCGCCGACTTCGAGCTTCCGCCAATACCATCGCCACCAGTTGGAGCTACTCGGGAAGACGTTCTAGCAGCTGTATCTGAAGGGCTGCGGAGCATTCAATGGCCGGACATGAGTGTGAATCGCGGTGGAGAGGTCGACTTGACAAAAGATGACGTCTTCGAAGCTGTGCGGGCAGGACTGGCTCAACATGAAGCAGTCAGCCCAGAGCAGATCATTGATGCCGTGAGACAAGGTCTCGTACAGCACGATAGTGTCTCGACCACGCAAACTATCGAAGCTCTGCAAGAAGCTTTGGCCCACCACTCAGCGGTACCGACTGACCAAATCATTGACGCCGTCCAACAAGGGCTGTCTCATCAGAGTCCTCTCGCCAAAGAAATTGAATTCAATCGTGAAGATCTGTTCGACGCAATCAAGGCGTGTCTCGAAGGCGAGCAAAATCCCCTAGGAGGGATGGGGGAGCGAGTCATCGAGGCCATGCATGAGTTCTTGGGGAGCATGAAGAATGAATTTCAACAGTACTCTGCCGCCAGTGGAAAAGACACAGAACAGGTTCTTGACGCCCTCAAAGACGGACTCGAAGACCTGCGGGCTGACATTGAGAGCTACGTCGATCGTGCTGCAGATGTTACCGGAAAGGACGAGATCATCGACACAGTCAAGGCTGGCTTTGCGGCGATGCAGGCAGATCTTGACAAAGGCTTTGCAAGTCGCGGTGGTGGAGCACCAAATACGCCGGAGCTTCTGGATGCCATGGAAAAGGAGTTCGAGCACCTCCGTGAGACCATCAGCAAAAGTATGGTCAGAAGTAACGCCATTTCAGAAAAGGAGGAAATTCTTGACGCTATCCGCGACATCACTGACGACAGACAATCGGCACTCAGCACCAACAGTGAGGACATTGTTCGCCTTGTCAAAGAAGAACTTGAGCACATGCGGGCTGCTCTTGCTAGCACAATGATCAAGAGTGGCTCTGCCATCGACCGCGAAGAAGTGCTTGATGCCATTCGAGAAGGACTGACTTCGTCCCGCCATAAGGTGGACGGGAACGAAAGCATTTTGTCAAACACGAGCGAACTTCTGGATGCTTTTCAGGATGGGGTCGACGGTATCCGAAACGACATTCAGAAACTGTCTGATCGACCTGTCGATCTCAGCTCCAGCTACGAGATCCTCGATGCCCTCAAGGCTGGCATTGACGACGTGCGTGCAGATATCGCCCGTCTAGCTGAGAAGCAGGGAGATGAATCAGACAGCACGACGGCTCGAGGACAAGAAATGGTCTTGTCCGATCAGAGTCGCATCTCGGCAGAGATCGAGGGCTTGAAAGTTATGATTACGCAGTTGCGCATCAAGGTGGAAGCTCTAGATGGGATGGCGCCACCGTCTTCACCAAGCGAAACTCGCATTCACAAGGACGACATGGACGAACTGTACGAAGCTATTCAGCAAGTCAAAGAGTCCATTAGCACTGCGGTCCCCTCGGAGACTCGTGTGCACAAAGATGATCTCGATGGCCTGTACAGTGCGATAGATCACATCACCAACGCCGTCAACCAGGTTCGAGATTCACCTATGCCGGAAGTCGTGATGCCAGAGAATGCCGCTTCGAAAGAGGACACGGAGGCAATCGAAACTCTGCTGCGGAACATAAAGGCCAGACTGGACGATATGATCCTCCCTGAGCCTGAATTGTTGGCCAAGTCGGTCCAAATCGACGC